CAGTTGATCTATGCTGTTTTAACTTCAATTGACAGTGCACAGGAACACAAATGCTGTTGCTGTTTTTTTCTCCTCTGAATGTTGCCTGACGTCGGTTAATGCCGGAGCTTCATGTAACCGGATAACATTCATTCTTCATGTTTTATGTAATGAAGTCCACACAGCTTGGCCTCATATATTCTCATATTAAATGTCCACCCTGCAGTGAGTTCAACATGCATGCAGCCTGTGTAATCAGATTGTGGATGGGTGTGATTTGTGCACCAGGCTCACATATGGCTCTAATAAAGAGCCTGCAAATCTATCCATTGACATCACTGTTCTTGGAGTACACACTAATTGTCCACAGTGACCTGAGCCTTGATGCTATCTTTGCTGAGATAAAAGATACCCTTAATACTCTAATAAAGTACCATAGTAAAATGTACAAGAGCAGATTTCCCTTTATATGTGAATAATAAAAAAGAAAAATTCAAAACAAAGTTGGTAAATAAATTATGAAAAAGATGGCAAAGCAATGCCTGAGTCACTGGCAACATTCAATAACCCCATCAATTTTACTGCATTAGTTATGTTATGCAGTGTAGCAGTAAAAGTCGTAGGATGCTTGTCACACCTCGAAGAATGCTAGAATGGGATTGATTTTTACTGTCATAATACCATCAGCTCTTCATTACCTTTTACATTACAGTGACTGCCCCTGGGTACTGCCTCCTTACGTCAGACACAGTACTGTGTGTTGAAGCTTTGTTAAGGTGTGTCAAGGTTCAATGTAATGTTGTCAAAACATGTTTTTACTATCTAGGGGAGCTGCTGAACTTTCCACTCTACATTCATGTGTGTTTTGGGATATTTTGAGCATTGCAGATGACTAACAATGACTCCGTAAGCGTCACTGATTATCCATCAGCCTAGGGTGAGACTTGAAGGTTTAGTGTTTTTGATGCTCAATTTAACAATGTAACTCATTACAGAACGTCACACACTACGACTAATAACAAGACGTGTACTTTTTATTCATAACATAAACACATGCCGTATCTGAAGCTTCATTCTTGTCTGGCATGCATGGAAAATATGCAGAAGTGAAAAATGATTGCTTAGAAACGACACAAATAGTAGAGACATGAGAGCATAAAGTAAAACAATATACAACCTCTGAAATTGCTTTCCTATAAAACGTTTAAGGCATTGATTTACTGCTTTAAAGCATAGAGAGCCACAGACTGGAGAAACCTGGTCACTCTTAGTGTCACCAGGATATAGGGTCGTTAGAAGAGCAAACAAAGACTATTGAGTAACAGCGATTACACTAAATGTTATATTTTCAAAATTACGACCCTAAGATAGGGTAAAGTCGTGGAAAACCGCAAGAGGCCTAAGATCACGCCTTGGGAAAGCCATAATTCAAAGGCACCTGGGGCAGAGGCAGAAAGAAACAATCTGAACAAAAGATTGTTTCATTATTAGTTGAAGCAGTAGTAACAGCAGTAAGTAAGATTTTTTTTCAACCTCTTAGGGGCAGTGGTGCTGAAAATAGCTGCAACAGGAAACAACACAGAGTGAGGTTAACCAAGAGAGTAACACCAAACTAATCTGCTGAAAGATGCTAACATTCTCTGTAGAACTGGGGGGGGGGCTCTTGAGATCCCAATTCTCTGTTTGAATATAATGTTAGTGGCCTGTTGTAAGGAGGTTTTTATGCTGATAAAGCTGAGCTGTCTCTATGCCACTTTGTCAAAAAAAAAGTAAACGGGTAAGGAGAAAGAAAAATGTAAAAGTGAAAAGGCATGACGGTGTTTCATTGGTGGTGAGTATATATCTCACCACTCAAGGGCTCTACCTTACAATAGACTTATTGTGTTTGACAAGTGGACAATAAAAACACAAGCAGTGGTGAAATATGATCGTAGTGGTGCAGTCAGCACTGGAAGCCTGCATCCAGTCATGCACACATTGGTAAAGCCTACCAGTTTAAATCTAGTAGAGGAATAGGATGCTAAATCCAACGAAATCCATGCTCTGTATGACTTGTCTACATCCTGCTTACTGTACTGGATAAGATTACAGAGTTCGTTATAGACCATGCCAATATAGGATTGTTTGTGCTGTCTGCAGTCTTCTTGCAAATTAAGGACTATAGCTTAGAAAAGTGACCAGAGTCACCTTTTATGGACCTGCACACCCTGGTCTGGATTGTAGCTGTCTGTGTGGTTTAGATTCCTTCAAGATTTTTCAGTCACTTCAAAGAAAATTGCTATGTTCAGTGTTTGCTCCCAAAATAATGACCTGACAGGCTTATATTTGCCATACCTTTATTTTGAAAATAATGCCCGTAACCCCTACTTACATAGTCCCACATAGCAGTTCATCAGGTTGTGTTTACACGAGCTAGAAGTCACCTTTATGACAGAAACATTTTGACCAAAAAGTGAAAAGCTTTTAGTTCATTAGTAGTGTATTCCTGGTATGAGCTCCAAAATGATTTAGTGTGGTTGACACAAGTTTATAATATATCTAAATTTTCTACTCTAAATGATTGTCTAATGAATTATTGCAATAGCTCACATCTGATTATAAGCTAACAATAATAAAGCGTTGCATACTACTCCTCCCATACCAACTGACTTCTCCAAAATACTGTCTTTAAAGAGGTGCCAGAGTCAGAGGATTTGACAGTCTACTGCTATTGTTTGTCAGAGTCAGTGGCCTATTTTTTGTTTACCAAGTCTATGTGGTATCTGGGGAAAGGACAAATGTAGACCCTCTCCATTCTGGATTAATGATCTAAACTTAGGTCTGTGCTGTGTCTGGCAGATGTTCTTGAGCCAAGAAATGAGCTGTTATGAACCATAAACAAGTCATTAATCCCTTTGTTTTGCTTACTGTCATTAGAATATATTTTCTACCTTCCTGTGGACAAAAAGCTGTATCTGATTTGTGATTTTACTAGAGAAGGAGCTTGCTTTTTGTGTGCTTATGCACAATGCTTTTTGCATTTCTTTTGCTGTTTAAACATTCAATTTCTTAAAGCCAACAATTACCTCACCCACAAGAAAAGAAAGAACATTTCCTCCAAGTGCTATATAAAGACCTAGTCAAAGAACAAACAATTGTAAATACTCTGATACACAACCTGTCCCATTGTATAGTTTGCATCCCTTTGCTTCCTGTAGTTCTATGACTGACAAATTAGCTGAAGGAATCGACCACAGGTGTTTGGTTTGACCATCTTTCTTTGGAATTGTAAAGGTTTAAGATTGAGCTGAAGACCAGCGGTGGATTACAAACGGTTTGAAATAAACAGTTGAGGCAGAAGCGATGCCCTTTGTACCAGGCTCAGGCAGACATTGTCCAACACCTCTCACATGTTTGGGCTTTGGGCCCTACGGCAGATTTAATCCATAGCATGTGTACACACACTGGTCAGAAATCCTGCAGTGCATAAGTAGCAGGATAGCCATGGATATACATTACATTTGTCTGGTTTGACACTGGCTGATGGTTGACATGCGTACAGTTAGCATGTTAACATTACATAACGTTACATGTTAGATAACTATTGGATCTTAAAATGTTGATGAAACAGCATGAAACATTTAGCATATTACCATGCTGTTAACATTAGCATGTAAACATGCTCATAGATAGCATGCTTTTTCCAAACAAATTTCACACATCCAACAAAAAAACTCTGATTTGCAAGTATAGTTTACCCAGGAGATGAATAATTATTCTGAATATTTAGTCAACCGCAACAATGAGGGAATAAAAATCCATAATAATCACTATCACTTTAGATATTTTTAAGTATTATTAGCATTTTTTAAACTTATAAACATTTAAAATATTTTCTGGAATGACAATAAAAAAGAATCATTAGTTGCAGCTAGCTCTCCAGTGCCTTTGTAGCAGTTGCAGATATTCAGCAGTGTCACAGTTATATTGTGGTGTTGCTCAGTTGATTGCTCCCTATAGGGTCCTAGCTTTGTGCCAAATCCAATGACACTGCTCCCCAGTATACTGCTCATAGCTCCAGTCTTAAAATACCCTGCATGCTTCCCCAGGGGACTGCCGTGGGCCGGAGATCCCCTCTCATGGAATCTCTTCACTGTTTGGAAATAGATGGTTTACTGTGTTTACTATTGTGCAGGGGTGTAGAGAAGGGTGCAGTTAAACAGCATTTATCCACCTCTCAAAGTCTGAAATTGTTTTAATGCAGATCGAGGAGCATGTATTCTCAGTCACCCATGTTACAGCTGGCCTGAGGTGTTGCCAATACATTCTCATATTTCACTGATATTAAGTTTGCATTTCTGTATGTCATCAGGGCTATAGATATACATTTACACACTGTAAATTACAACAAAAGAATGTGTGGTATTGTGTATGTAATGTTAGTTTTGACTGAAATTGTATTCCATTACATTTATTAGTTAAGCTAAATACTATCATATATCTTGAAAATTAAAAAAAATATATATCATAGTTTGCCTTTATTAAACAACCCTATGAACTTATTCTGGGGTTATCAAATGTATGGCTTATACATTGGTAGCATCATTTATGCTATTTCTTTTCCGTTTGTTTGTATAAGCTATGACTTGCACACAGATAATGTAATAAAGTTGGCTCTCTGCGTTCACCTGTGGCACCTGCCCTCATGGTGTGCCAGGGTTTGATGTGCAACAGGATGTAGCAGACTGTAGACAAACAGGATGTTTGCAGAGTAGTTAACTCTGTGTGATGCAGACCTACTTTTCATGATGGTTTATAGTTATATTGTGTTACTTTTTTACAAATTATTTCGTAGGACAGTATTTTATGATGAACATGGTAAGGAATTGTTGTCTGCATAATCTGAATTTTTTGTTCTTCAGTAAAATGTGTTTGTCTAGTTGATCTTGACACCATACAGTGTAATCAGTATAATATATTAAGAATTCTGCCTCTTTTAAATCCTTGTAATGGTTTTTATATATGATTATCTTTTCTTTCAGAGCTGGGTATGGCACAGCGAAAGTTTGCTCAGTGCCTGGGAGAGTTTCAGTTTGAGTACATTGGAGATGCAAAGACAGACGATGAAAAGTGTATCGGTAAGTGTGGGTATGGCCTCGCACATGATGGAAACTAACCACTAGTTTTGTCACCACCACACAGACATTGTACACATGCACTTTAAATGTTTGTTTATGGTTCTGTCTCTACCAGCAAATTAAAAGCCAAATTTTGGTAACTGATGGTAACAACTGATAATCATAATGTCTTTTAGGCCATGTCTGTCTGTGTGTGAGAGAGAGAGGGGAGGGGGGGGGCTACAGTGAAGCAAAATTACTGCATTTATTACTGTTTGATTTTATTTTATTTTTTTTTTCTTCAGATGAGTCTTTGCAGGAGTTCTCCTCATTCCTCAAGAACCTAGAAGACCAAAGAGAGCTGATGGTGAGAACAACCAGTCAGAACCTGCTTGAAATCCAGGGAAAATACTTTTGTGTCTGTCTGTCTGTCTATCTGTCTGTCTGTGCTATCTATCAATCTATCTGTCTGTCTGTCTGTTGGTGTATTGCACTTGAATTGTTTATCTGTGTACTCCTTCATTGTGTGCATTTCCAACCAGCCTACACCTATTATGGCCCAGATTTGGTACATGCACCTCTAAATGTCTAACTCTATCATCCACCAGAGATCCAGACAGGCACTTGTGATATAATTTTCTCCAACATGCAGTACAGACGCGTCATCTAGTAGACAAACCTAAGGGTAGATAAGTCTTGATAGTGTTCAAACAGTTCCCTCCCATTGTGCCTGTCTAAGGGTCACTGTCACAGCACCTGCCTGGGAGTGGTTGCACAGAGGACAGAAGTGCATATCCGGATTATTACACCAAAGCTTTAAATACCAAGACAATATTGCCTATTACAACATACCACCAGAAACTAGCTTCTGCATCAGGCATTGTTGTGCAAGTTGCTAATTTATAAACCAAAAGAAGCTTGTTAAAACTCCTCATTTGAAGACTTATTTTAATTTAAGCAGTAGGCCTGATGGTCAGTTTTAGTTTCTTTCAAAAGAAATACATCTAAAACATTCTTCTTCTTTAAACAGGGATGCACAATTTAGTGCTTGCGACTTCCTATAAACAGCCTTTCTCTTGTAATGTCTGTCCGTAGTGTCTGAGGTTAGGGAGTTGGCCCATCATCACTGGCTGACTGAGATGACTGTTTTAGCATTAGTCTCAGACCATAATGGTAAACACACTGCTCAGCACAGCACTGCACTCAGTAAAGTGGGATGACATCACAGTGCAAGGTAAGAAAAAGTAACAAGAACATGCAAGCGCAGACATGTCCTGCAGTCAGCAGAGCAGAAGAACGGAAGGAATGAGGAAAAATACTTTGACATTATTAATACATTATTGGAAGACAATGATGTTTTTAGAATAGTAGTTATGTAATTTAAATTATGTATTTTATGTATCAAGGCCAATAGGGCATCAATCAAAAGGCAGCACCTCTACAGACCTCTAGAGAGTCTTGACTGCAGTCAACAAACACTTAGAATTGAAAATGGTGTTGTGTCATATGAAATATCAATGGATTTGTCATTGAGTTGAGCAATAATGAAAGCTTTGTTATGACTTCTGTCTCTGTCTAGATGAGAAACATCACAGAAACCTTAATGAAACCCCTGGAGAAGTTCAGGAAAGATCATCTTGGTATAGTTAGGGTAATGTATAATGGTTTATTTCCACTTCCCAATATGTTTTATAGCTCTCAGCAGATGTGTTTGTATGCTTGATGTACCCTAATGATTGTTAAAAATTCTGTATTTTACAGTGGGATGCTAATAGTATATGAATTGTACTATGCACATGGCTTTGATTCCTTTGTCCCCAAGAATAATCCAGTACTTTGTTCTCCTTACATGTTTCTACTCCTTCCACTGTACCTTCTTAAGGCGGAAAGAAAGAAGTATGAGAAAGAAACAGAGAAGTACTACAGCTCTCTGGAAAAGCTTCTGAATATGTCAGCAAAGAAGAAAGAACCACAGCTACAAGAGGTATTTATCCTTGCCTGAACTCTCTGACAGATATGTAACATGCTGAATAAAAATGTATAATGATAGCAAAACGAATGGAAAAAGGAATATTGTTTAGTTTGAGAATCCCTGTTTTTAGTTTTTTGTCTTTGGTGCCTTGGGGAAGAAGCTCGCTGCAAAGCCGGTTGGACCAAGTTTCCACTGACGTGCCTTGAAGCAACAGTTTTCCTGGCTTGTTTGGAAAGGAAATGTGTACTCACAGCTGTGGCTGTTCTACCAAGGTCAAACCTGGTTGCTGTATTGTAGTTTTCGCTAACAATCCATGCCATAGTAGCATGACATGGACATTTTAAATTGTGGAGAATTTAGTAGCTTTTCACTAGGGGTCCAATGGATCACAAAACTCAAAGTTCGGAGTGATTCACGGTTTTGAGTCACGGATTGGATCGTTTTTTGGATCAGCAAAAAAGAGGAGTTATCATGGGGGTCAGACTGTACGGTTCCACTGTGATCCATTGCACCACCACCTCTCCCTTAACAAGTCGTTTGCAATGCCATGCAAAGCAATGCCATGTAGCCATGTAAGGCTTACCCATATGTTGTATACACCAACCAGAGAGGACACTTAAAAATGTTGACATTACGACCACAGGCTGTTCTGTTCTTTGTGACTCAAGGGTCTGTGGTACCAACACGGATTCCTATCAGACTTGAATAAATAGACCTTGTGATTCGTTCACAGACACAGGAGTCATGAACTTCATCAACACCGCATCAGTTGTTAATGATCTCAATGAACACCAGCATATATTATGAAAAGCAGCATATGAACTTCGATCTTGCCCATTTTAAAGTGAATAAATAATTATTAATCAGTAGTTGACATTGAGAAAGAAAGGACACCATCAGTAGTCTTTCTGTAGTAGGAAAGTATACCACTCATTACACTTAAAGATTCAGTGTGTAAGATTTAGTAGCGTCTATCAGCAGAAATGGAATATAATATTCATAGGTACGTTTTCATTAGTGAATAATAACCTGAAAAAAGAATTGTTATGTTTTCATTCATCTTAGAATGGTCCATTTATATCTATAGACACCGCAGGTCACCTTCCATGGAGTCTCTTATGTTGACCCACCATGTTTCTACAGTAGTCCAGCAGGGACAAACACTGGCTCTAGATGGGGGCGGTTTTTGGCACATTTTGCAGCCACAGTAGTTTGTCCTTTGTTCTTGGAAGGTGAGGTTCAAGCGAAGAACTACACCGCTAGATGTCAATAAATCCTCCACACTGGTGTGAGATTGTAACCAACAGAAAGCCCCTGACTCAACTAAGCGCAATTATATTCTATTATATATAGTATATAAAATGACTGTATACATCTAATAAGTTTGGGATGGCAAACTGGTTAATGCTGTCACCTCACAGCAAGAAGGAAACAAATTCCCCCCTGACTGACAGGCGCTTTTCTGTGTATAAATCTGCCCCCTGGGTGCTCTGGTTCCCTCCCACAGTCCAAAGACTTGCAGATTACTGTAGATTAAGTGGCACCTCTAAATTGCCCACAGCTGTAGGTTTGGGTGTTCCATCTGCCTATACATGTTAGCCCTGTGACATCAAAGACACTACTAAGTTCAGTGTACCCCGCCTTTCAACCAAATGTAAGCTGTGATAGCTCCAACCTGCCCACAACCCTGTATAGGAAAAGCAGGTATAAGTGATGGATGTAAGAATATAATGCCATAAAAAGAAAAAGTGCTCTTGTTCTTTGCTTCCATGCATCTACCTGTCCTTATAATCATCACGGTGTGTGTTCTCCACCTCCCCAGGCAGACATCCAGGTGGATGCCATGAGGCAGCACTTTCAGGAGGAGTCACTGGACTATGTGTGCAAATTGCAGGAGATCCAAGAGAGAAAGAAGTTTGAGTGTGTGGAACCGGTGAGTAACTGGCCTTAGTGGCATGTCAGCACCAACGTGGCTTGTCTTTCACATTAATAAAAGCAAAAGGCAATATAGGATGTGTCACAGGGGGTTAGGTTTCTGTCTTACTTGAGAATGACTAAACAATCCTATCATATTCTGGCATAATGTGATAATTTCTCTGCCCTTAGTGTTTTGATATGAGTTTCTCTTTGACTTGCTGACTCTTTTTAACATCTCTTATCTGTTTCTTCCTGTGACCCTTTTAGATGCTGGCCTTCTTTCAGACAGTCTTCACCTTTTATCACCAGGGCTTCGAGCTCGCCAAGGACTTTGACCATTATAAAAGAGCACTGCAGATCAATATTCAGAATGTAAGGAATGTTAATATTTTATTATCATATTTGTAATTTGATGATTCTAACTATGACAGCAACTGCTTGTATAGTATTTGTGTGTTCTTGTTCGACACAAAGAACAGAAAAGGTCTTGAGTGTAATACATGAAGGTTCCAGAGTCATGTTCCTATGGCTAACCTGTTAGCAAATCATTTCCTAGTTAACAAAGCTACTAAAGCTAAAGACAGAGCATCATGGGCCACTGGAGTCCTCACTCTCTACCTGTCAGATGCAAGTCCAATATTAACTTGCCTTGATTTGATTTGTTTTGATTTAGCCACCAACTATTTGACTCTGCTTCGTGTTTTACTTCTTCAGCCACTTGTTAACATCATATCTCCATCGTTTTGGTTTCCCCTACTCTGAAGTGCCATTATGTTCTTATTTCTGTTTCGATTGATTCAGTTTTAGATCGCTACTAATCATTCAATTGATTTCATGGAGATATAAGGGGTTTCCAAGAAAAGCTCATAAGTTTTCTCATTATTTAACCATTAAGTATCAGGAAGTGACTTCCTGTTGTGTGTGTGTGTGTGTTACTTCCTCTCCCTCCCAGACAAGGAGTCGATTTGAGGGCGCGCGGTCTGAAGTGTACGAGCTGATGAAAAGGATCAGGGAGACACCACAAGAATACAGACAGACCAGCCCTATCAGTTGTGAAGGCTATCTCTATGTACAAGAAAAACGTAAGACCTTTTATATAGTTCAAATGTGTTTTAATTTGGGGTGTCATATTACACCCATTCATAACATACACTGCAGTGAGGCAATTTAGTCATGGCAAAAATACACAACAACCTCCTGTAAAAGTGTGTAAGTGGAGCAGTTTTGCCCCACATTAAAACATATCAGTGTGTAGGGACTTGGCTTGAGAACTGGAGGGTCGCCGGTTCAAGCCCAAAAGACCACAGTATGGAGTGTGGACTGGTAGCTGGAAAGGGGGCCAGTTTCACCTTCTAGGCACTGCCGAGGTGCCCTTAAGCACTACAGCTGCCCACTGCTCCTAATGTATATAGTAATGTATATAGGATGGGTCAAATGCAGAGGACAAGTTTTATTTCATGTATGTTAAATGCTGTAAATGCTGTATATACTGTGAAAATGACAATAAAAAGACTTTATCTTATCTGTAGGTTGTCAGTAACGTTATGTAAAGAGTTATTGTGTCAGGAAAGTTTGGAAAGACTAGTAATTTCCTTTCATCCCTATTGTGAGCAGAGCATGGAAGTTAAAATGCATGTTTAAACCAGCAGTAGCAGTGATTCAGCGTTATGCATCTGAAAAGCAAAGTTAGCACATTTTAGGTTTTACTTTTTTTTTGGCTCCACTCTGACACACATTGTCATTGCACATGTCTTCCCTGATACTGCTGCAATAAGCAATACTGAATGTATGTGTCACATCTGTGCCTTGTTTCTCTAGGGCCACCTCCCTTTGGTTCAAGTTGGGTCAAGCGCTACTGCACATTTGTCAAAGAGCAGAAGATCCTGCACATGGTGACCTTCGACCACAGATCTGGTGGGAAGAATGTGAGTAGTCAGAACATATGGAGCAGTGGGTTATAAATGCCAAACAATTTTTATGATATCTCAACCCTGTTCTCTATGCGATCTTTCCCTTTGCTGAGTCCTTTGTTTTTGTTTTTGTTTTTTCAGGGTGAGATAGAGTCTGTCACGCTCAAATCCTGTGTTCGCAAAACGACAGACATGTTGGACAGGAGGTTCTGTTTAGAACTCGACATAACAGATCGGTACATAACTGTTTCTCAAACACACTTGATATGATATGCTCATAGCTGACGGTATCATTTTACATTATATCACAAGTGAAACACTTTATTTTAAATTATTCTTAAGGATGACTCTTGGTTGAACTATTCTCTTGTGCCTTTTCCATAGCGGCTACAGAGCACATCGATTATTTACTGTGATATTCCACCGTAACAGTTTTGCTAAAAATCTTGCTAAAGAGCATAATTGCTGATTACAATTTACCTTGTTTTGGATTGCAGAGGGCAGGCCAGCAGGATTTGTCTTGGTGGGCTGCCCTCACACACTTAGCTGGGAGGATTTGTCACACCCTGCTGTGCCCTCCTGTAATAGATACCTCATTTTGTCACACAACTTAACTCTGCCCTACCCCTTTTCTGTAGTATTAATAGAAGAGCAATACCCCAGTTTTAGTAAGGAAATTTGAGAACACACATCCATTCTGATTGGGATGAGTAACTTGATATCCATCTGGTCCCACATGATTGTAGGTCTCATAAACCAGCTGGCATGACTAATGGGGCTCATATTTGTAGTTACTGCAAATCCAAGGTGCAAGTGCCCTTGGCAGAGGGTGTTGTTTTTTTCCCAAAGATTTCTAAACAGATTTGATGTTTTATATTGACACTGACATCTCCTAATGCCTTACTGTACTGGAGCTCTAATGCTTTGCCTCATGCTGATGTCGTATGGCTCTTCCCCAGGCCAGGGACGGTGCTAACAGTACAAGCTCTGTCAGAGGATGACCAGAAGTTCTGGATGCAGGCCATGGGTGGGAAGGACCCTGTGAGTCAGCCGCCTATACTATGTCATCATCTACCACTCACACTTGGCTCATGTAGCAATACTGTATTCTGTTCTGTTTAACTGCTGTCTTAGAGAAGGCAATTCTTTTTAGTTTAATATACTTCTATATGTGTGCACTTCACTGTATACCACAAGGCTTAAGTACTTGATCAACTTTAAAAAGCAATAAAGAGTTGTTGTTTTTTTTAACAGATTGGACACTATCTTGGGAGGACTTTTTCTAAAGAACGAGGAAGTAAGTAGGCTAGCTGACCCAGACTTTGTATCTGTGAAAGAGTGTCATTAAGTTTCACGAGAGCAGCACTTCACCACAAGGTTTGTTTGTTTTTCCCACCTGCAGTTGATGCCCAGCTGGATGATGTGGGTTTAAGTTTTGTGAAGAACTCCATCAGCGCCATAGAGACGAGAGGTGAGCTTCAGATATGTAAATATTGAAAAGCTTAGTTGAGAGAATTACAAGGTGACTTATGTAGGTAAGTTTAACATTGGAATTGGTGGATAGTAACAGGTAACATGGATGCAGTGTGCTGGTCTGTACACAAGGGGGCAGACTTGCTCCAGTATTGAAACAAAAAGCTGACTGGCAGATACTGCAGGCAGCGTGCGTGTACTGTAGATAATACTAATGCCTTTCATTGCATAGCTCTAAAGTTCTTATTAATTAGCTTCAGCTTCCATGCTTATCTGACCTCTTTTTCAGTCAAAAAAATTTTCATCAGTTTTGGTTTAGTCCCTCTCAACATTCTCAATATTTCTATATGCAAATGATTATCTGTTTCACTGAACTTGGTTCAAATTCTTAGGATAGAGTCATGAATCTGCTGTATACTTCCCACACACAGGGTTGTTGTTGTGTGTGTATAATATTCTTTCCTTATTCTTATTTCATTGTTTTTGTTTGCCTTCTTTTTTTGTTATTCACGTTGTGTCTTCTTTTCCACATAGAGCACTTTGCAACTTTATTTTAAAAGGTACTATGCAAATAAATTTTCATCATTATTATTATTACTTATCAGGTATTAATGACCAAGGGCTGTACAGAGTTGTCGGGGTAAGCTCCAAGGTCCAGAAGCTTCTCTCATTAATGATTGGTAAGTTGAAGTCGATTCTTTTCTTTCTGTTCTAGAAATGTATTTGCATAGAGAGTTGCTGGTAAGAGCTGAATAAAGTAAAATTTTTAATTTATATGCTACTGCACTATCTCTGTGATATCAGGTTGCCCCTAGTTAGTTGAATGTGCTGACGTAATGGATGTGTCTGTCGGCGCGATATTAAAAAGATTGTGACTGACAATCAGCCCATGACTCAGCCTATCACAACTAGGTCTCTCTAAAGTGCAACAGGTGCCTGGGTGTATCTTTGCCTCACTTCCATTCAGTCTTTTATCCCCCAGACAACCAGAAAGTGTCCCTCTTATCCACGTCCTTGCACTTTTTGGCATTTTCTTCATTAACACACCACTAAGATGGCTTCTCGTGTGCTCGTGGCTGGCTTAGTCCATCAGTCGCCTTTCTCGATTTCCTTTATGCCGCTCACTTGTCTTCAATCCCTTTCACTCAACTTCTTTTCTATAGAGCTTGTCCTCTGTCCTTTCCATTGCTCCCTGTCTGCTCTCTGGTTTCCTGCCGTCTCCAGCAGACACCAGCTCACTCTCGGCTCTGTGTTCAGAATGACAACAAACTCAGCCAGCCGCCAGCCTGTCTCAGCTTCCTCTCCAAAACCTTCCAGCCTCCCAACCTGCCGACTCATGCTGTAGACTCCTTTAACCCTCTGCGGCGGCACTTTTAAGTAGTTTCTTTAAAGCCTGAATATGGTAAAAGAAGCCTTCATCTGTGGTCTTGACATCCCACATTGTGAATGAGGGAAAATATAGATGCGTGCACTTTAATGCTTGCTAATGTTGGGTTACTGATTGGCCGCATACAATAGATGGGATATTTTCGTTAATCGTCATTGAGTTATATTTTATCCCTGAAATTACTAATATGTATGGCAGAGGTTGTACTACTTCTACACAAACCAACACATTCACAAACATTTCCTGCATACAACGGTTCACCGTGAGTGGGTGAAGCAAGCTTTAAACCCTGAAGAAAGACTTCGGATCCTCCCACTCCTCCTCCTTTTCATCTCTCACCCACCGACATGGCAATGGTCCAATCAGAGAGGACAGAGTGATGGAAAAAGAGTCTCCCATCATATTACAGTACAATGTTCAGACGGATGGATGAAGTGAAGTTTGCAACTCCCAAATGGTTCTTGCTGTGAGGTAAATTAGAAATGTGTGTGTGGATTCTATGATGTGGTTGGTGTGGTTGACGATGGGTACTGTTTTGTGGTGATCGACATGCTGCCTGTGTTACTCCGGTGGTGTAAAGTGGATGTGTGTGTTTTGTTGGTGCTGTTGTGTGTGTGAGGTCATTTAGTTCACAACCGTGCTGTTGTTGATGAGCGGGAATAGCTTAAAATGAAATCCTCACCTTTGAACCGAGTAAAATCGAGCAGGAAGTGGTTTTGCATGTTTGCCGCAAAAAAGAAAAAAGGGGTGTGGTGGGGGTGGGCGTGTGGCAGGTGTGAAGAAGTGGTGGTTGTGGCTGCGATGTGACTACCGGGCTAAGTTCGCATATTGAAAGTATTCTTTCTGGATTCGGAATTTTGGATCATCTGAAGGTGATGGATTGTATCAAGCTAATTGTTGCAGGCGGTGGTGTTTATGGTTGTGCGTGTTGCAGCGGGTGTTTCCCAGCGAGACTCCGGTTACCTCAGGATGGGGAAGCAGGTTCAGTGCGGCCCCACTCGGGTTTATCTGTTCGTTAATGCTTCCCAGTCCCTCGGCCTGGTATGGACAGATCCACTCTCGGGGTGGCTTGGCCGGTGCTGCCATGCTGAATTGCGATGATCTATGTACAATCAGTAGCGGAAATATGTTATTTCTGTGTGCTTTGGAGCTAGGAAATGAATGGCGCTTGACCTTGAGTACCGAGACGACAGAAGCGACCAGCGCTCAATACTCTTGTTGTTGCATAGCATCTGAACCACAGGAAGAGGCGACTGGTTCTTGTGTTGGGCAGCCTAGAAGTGGGCAAATATGCCGGTGACATGATGAAGAGTGCGTAAGCTTGTAAACTGCAGCCGCGCGGGGATGCGTGGGGCAGGGATAAAGCACGGCGCCGCTAGCGTACGCTGCGTGGTTGGGGGTCGCGGGGTGGGGTCTGAGCGCCGAGGTGCGGGGATGTGCCATGCGGGAGGGCGGAAAAAGGAGTGTTTATAGGCTTCTGGGCTTAGGGAGGGGGCTGCGCGGCGCTGGGGGCCTGCGGGGGGTGCGACATGTGGGGGCGCCCTGGTGGCGGCCGGGTTGGGTGGGGGCGCCGGCGCTTTGGCGGGCGGCGGGCCGCGGCCGCGGCCGCTGCGCTGTGGGGCCGGTTCGGCGGCGCAGGGGCGGTCCGTCATAGCGAGTAAGAAAGTGGCGGCTAATTGCAAGGGCCGGACGCCGGCGGCCCGGGTTTCTATGCACTGTCATTGACGCCTCCACAGACTCAGAGCGGTGAGCTGTTTGGCCTGAAAATGTCGGAGGGGGCTTTAGGTCACACCTTAAGTAACGCTCTGGATGAGACTTAGCAGGGAGTGGATGTGGAAGCGTGCCTAGAGTTGGGTGTCAGGTCGAAGTGTTATAAGTAGGGCTGTGCAGTTCTGTGTGTTAGCTTGTGTGTGGGATACAGTGCTCAGGGCATAACACACAGACTTTAGCTTTGTGGGTGCGTAGGTGGTCTGTGTTCTAGCGGAAAGTTCGCATTTTTTGTCTCTGCATCAGAAGCCCCTGGCAGGCAAAGGGGGACGTCCTGTGTTCCCCGCTCGGCGTTCGGTCCACTCAAGGCGGCTGTGCCTGGCCGAGAGCTATCGAGGCTTGTGCGTCTAAAGCGCAAATGTTTTTGTGGGAGCGCTCTTGTCAGACCGAAAGGCCCGCTCCGCCTCGCCCTACGAGCTATGTATGGTTTGAGAGTGATGGGGCGTTCTGTCGTGTGTGCATCGGAGGCCTGCTGGTAGTGCTGAGGTCTAACACGGAAACAGCTTGCGACTTGGCTTTAGTGGTCTAGGACGCACTCAAAAACACAGTTTCTGTGTTTTTTGTTGTTAGGTCAGCAGGGTTGGAGGTAAGTGCTGTGTTTGTGTGTGTCTGTGATTAGGTGATGAAACTGCTACCAGCAAAGCAGCCAGGCAAGGGTTTAAAGGTTCAATTTCTTTTTTTGTACATTGGTACCTAACATTGTACGCCCTCGGGATGGTACGTGTGTAGTTGGAACCTGCACTGTGTCGCTGAGGGGGCTTGTTAACGATAAGCAGCTAAATTTGCGTAAACTGCAGCTCTTCTGTTGTGTAGTGTTTTAGCATGCTCTGCGCTGGATGGCCAGTTTCTACCATATAAATACATTCCAAAAGAATGCTATAAGACTTAGAAGATTGTCCTGACAGATGTCACAATTTTCAAGACTAAGGGATAGCGTCGCGAGTTGACGAAACCGTCAATGGGAGTGCCTGAAGGGATGTCCAAGCATGAAACCTATAAAGCCAATTAACATCGTATTGGATCACAACCGAAAAAGACTGAATAGTGCTGAGGAACAGTTTGCGAGAACGGATAAAAGGACACGAGTGGGGGTTGTTGCCGTACATAGTCGTGCTGTAGGCAAGTGAACGCGTACCACAATTTAAAAAGGAATAAGCTTTACCAAGCTGTAAAAAGGGAGCTGGAAGCAACATGCTGCCCAGGTTTGGTGGTTATACGGTGTGAGGTCTCGTTTGTAGTGTTGCTCGAGTTGGAGTTCGCTACAGTGGTTGGCTTCACTTGTTTTTTGCTCTCTGTTGTTCCGCTATTTTGGGTTCTGTGTGTTTGAATCATCCTTAGACCCCTTAAGCTAAAGTGCTGTGTTAGGGAGCTCAAATAGGGCGGGTCAGAATCCCCCCGCACCTTTCTGATGTCAGATTAGGGGGTTCTTGTGTCCAATCATTTATGTAACTTTCCGGAACTGAAGAAGTCCTGCATTCACACCCACTTCACGCCGGATGATTGGGCGAGCAGGGTGGAGGTGAGAATGTGAAAGCGAGGGTTTCAAACTTCTCTCTCAACTCTCGGTTTTTTTCCTTCTTACACGAACTATTTTCTGTCACTTTCATGTGAACAGACAGAAGAGTACACTATGAAATTCTCAGGAGTGAGCTGACTGTTCGGATAAAAGATGTGGCGTTCTATTAAAACGGCGTCTCCCCCTCTCTTGAAAAATATAAACACATTTGATTGCAACACGTTGTAAAAACTGAGTTCTGCTTCAAGCATAACCTGACCCTTAGGATTTCCCTTGCAACTCTTGTGGGAATCCAGACCAATCAGCGAGGAAAGCCGCCCCCCTCCGCCTCTAGCCGTGAGGACAGGGTGGCGCGGGGAAACTCCGGACTTAAAGAGGGCACCAGGTAGACAGTGGGAAGTATATGGGGTTTTTTTTTAAATTTAAGTAACCCGTTAAAAGTCACCAGAGGTGTTTCAACGACTTTTCGTAAACAGGTTTATTAACATGGAGATGTGTTTGTGGATTGCGTAGTGTTGGCTGAACGATGTTTAGAACTTGTTTGGACAGTCTGGTTTGGCTCTCTGGGAATAAGATGCCGACCATGTTTTGACCATTCATCCAGTGTTAATTATATTAATGCTCAATTGTGTTACACTGTAAAAACCAGTGAAAAGTATAATGTATTGGAGTGGGTCTTTGCGACTTATCTCAGCAGCAATCCTCAAATTTGCTGGCACTCTTGCGTAATTAGTATCATAGAACCAAGATGCGTCATACTCAGCAAATCAACACGTTCCCTTGCTCTCATACTGCTAAAACAGAGTCGATCAGAGAGGAGAATGCGAGCTCTACTTTGACAGTGCTGTCTTGCCTCTTATATTGTGCCTGACCAGTTCGATAGAGTGCCTCTCTT